TTTATCCGGTAGTACCGGTCACGATAAATTTTTTTGATATATCACATTGAAAAATTCGTCTTTAAGAATGATTTTTTCCTATGTTTCGCTTTACTAAAATGCTGCTTTTTGGAACTTTTTTCCCACCATCCAGGGGATACAGTGGCTTAATAATACAGTGCAGTCATACAGATATTATATAGGCCATATTGGATCGGCGGGAAACTAATATTTGAGTAGTCTCTCTTTGTTATTTCAATTTAAAAAGTAATTATTGTAACGGGCAAGTGAATGAAGCATATGAATCATTTATATCATATATTTTAAATAAATAATAAAATCAAAGAGCAATATATATATATATTTTTTTTCTATTTAATTTCTTTTAATATATATTTCAATAAACCTCAGCATATTGCGATTTCCATTTTATTCATCTAATTCTCTCATTGGCAAATTTCACAAACTAATTTATATAATTATTAAAACATTAAACAAAAACTGAGTGAAAATTTCACTGGAAAACCAGAAACTCAATTCTAAGTTAGGAACCATGAAACTATTTTTATTTTTCTTCTTAATATTCTCCTTTGAAAAAAATGTAATATAAATTTAGTAAATATAAATTATTTAATGTAAATTTAATAAATGTAAATTATTTAATGTAAATTTAATAAATATAAATTATTTAATAAAAATAAATTATTTAATGTAAATTTAATAAATATAATTTATTTATTTTTACTTTGTTACTTGTGACTGAACACCACACTAGTGTTGCCCAAATGCGAGACCATGACGGGTCTTCTGTTATCAATGAATTGGATTAATAATCATAATCTGATAAATTGTAATAATGTTCGTCACACCTGAATTTTTGGTTAGTCCAGAATCTAAGCTTTCCCTTGTTTTATTTATTTTTCATTACTTTTGGGGGAAATTTGTGATTGTTGGCTATAATATATTTTCAATTTTATCACACAGGATATACCAATTAAAAATAACTAATAGTCAAACATAAAACTGTAAGGATAAAATACAATCAATTATCAATTCATTGAAGAACTATTCAATTTAACTTGAAAAAGAAAAAATTAATCAACAAAGGAATATAAAAAACAAAACAAAAGATAAAACAGAATATTTATGTATTTACAAAAGAATTTAAATGTATAAATTCTGCATATTTACATTTACTGCAAAAAACAGACATATGAGGAGAATTCTTTTTACTTATTGAATTTATCCTAAGTCTAAATACAATAAACCTCTTAAGAATACTATCTTTAATATTGTGAAAATTAATTATCTGTTCTTCATCAACAGAACACATTTTTCTCTATGAAAAATCCTCTTAAATTACTTCTTACTGAGTCGATTTGGCTCATATAGGTTTCGAAAATGACTTAATCCTTTAATTTGATACTTTATTGATTTTATTTTGTAATTCAGTGGTTTCAAGTATAAAAATTGAAATTTGGTTTTCCTTTATAGTTATTGTTACTTTCAATATTAAAAATATGAGTGTGGTTGATGTTCCTTAAATCATATTTGAATTGACTATAGTTGATGATCCTTAATTCATAATTCAAAAAGGCCTGCTATCTCTTAATTTAACTCCTTATAATGTCAAACAGTAGAATTAATATGATAGATAAAAACAAAAAAAAATCTTCAATATAATTGTCGAAGTATAAATAATAAATTCTCTAAAATTATAAATTCTCTTAATATAAACAACATCCTTATAGCTCTACTACAGGAAACATGGTTTGATAATAAATGGGTTTATTAAACCCGTGAACAAAATTATAACATAATAAAAAGAAATAGACGAGATAGGTATGGAGGAGTAGGCATCTTACTCCATACTTCGTTACTTTACGAAATCATAGACTTGCCAAATCTGGGAACAATTGAGGCAGTAGGGGCAAAACTTCTTAACACAGTACCTTCCATGATCATAGTTTCAGTATATATCCCACCAGACAACAGAAGGCGGTCTTTCCTTCGAAACCTCAAAAATCTTTTTGATCTCCATGTCAAATTTCCAAATTGTAGTGTGCTCTTGGGATTGGATTTTAACACGCACTCCTCATTTTGTGGTTCTCAAGAATATGATACTCCCACAGGATATGACTTAATTCTGGCATAACAAAACAGTCCGCTAATCCTATTAAATGAAACAGGAATAATCACTAAATTAGGAAACTCACTATCAAGACCTTCCGTTATAGATCTAACATCTGTCACAGCAGATCTCTGTCATAACCTTACCTGGGTTGTAATTTCAGAAACGCTAGGGAGTGACCATTTACAAAAATCCAGAGGGACCACAAATTCAATTCTAAAAGAAATTTCAAAAGATTAAATGAAAAAATATTTACAGATTACCTCTTGGAAATGGAGAAACCTAATATAAAATACAATATATCAGACTTGAGTAACATTATTAACCAAGCAGGAGAATCAGCTATTCCTCGGAAGTGTTTGGAATACCATCTAAAATTTATCCCAAAGTGCTGGTAGAATGAAGACATTCGCAAGTCGTATGGGGAAAAGAAGATATCAATAAAAGAATACTTCATTCAGATCACTTCATACCTGTCATATTCTTATATGACAATAGAAAAATACAAAATCATGAGAACGAAAATAAATAAGCTAAATTGCTTATTAAAAAGGCCAAAAGCGAAACTTGGAGAAACTACATCGAAAGCATCAACCCAAAACAAAACGGCTCTATGTGGAACAAAATTAAAACCTTAAGTGGAAAGCGAATTAATATGTAAAATATGGTGTTAATTAACCGACCACATGCAATAGGCTTTCTCGAACAATTGTCAAACATCTTTGTGCCCAAACAACCATTGCTTCGCAGTTCAAATGTACATATTGGCCACCATTTAGATTCACCCTTCCAATAACAGAGCTGGAAGCGGCATTGAAAGGGAAATTTGGATCCGCCCTCGGTATAGAGGAAATCAATTACCAAATGTTCAAACTCTTACCGGTAATGTTGCCCAAACGCAAGACCCAAGACGAGACTGAGGCGGTCTTGGTCTTTGTCTCAGTCTTGCACACTCGGTCCTGGTCTTGGTCTTGCACAAGAGTCTTGCAGTTACCTATCAGCTTATTAATATTTATTTAATATGTTACTTAAAATCTTGGAAAAACACTAAAAAAAAAGTACATTTAGATGTTTTACTGACATAAACTTAGTATAGCCCAACTAAATCAATAAAATTACGAATTAAGAAAGAAAGAGATAACCCCTTACAGGACTTTCTTATCTATTTAAAAAAAAAATACAACTTTAAATGTGGCCATTAGAACAAACAAATAATTCAATTACATTCATTTTCCTAAAAATCAATCAGTAAAATCATTAGGGATCGATTTCTTAAATAAACCAAATGGTAAACGGGCAAGTGAACCACCATTAAAATCAAAAGTGCCTAGCACACACCATTAGGTTTGAACAAAAATATCGGCAAACCAGCTCTAAATATAAAAAAGATGGTTTTTATTTCCTCTCCTATTATCTCACACCAGGACATTATTAATGCAATAATTAAGTTAAAAATTACTGGAAACAAAATTAGTTAATCATTAATGCAGCTAAACTTCCAAATTATAACTTTTGTTTTTTTCTCCCAAACCCAATGTCCAACTGTAGCATTAGCTCGCCCCAGTGTGCGCCATGAGCTGCGAAGGCTTGTGTTCCTGTCGCAGTTTGTTCCTATTGACTCCGAACTGACTCTCGCAGGTGAAATACATGATGGAGGAAAATTAATTTAAAAAAAAAAATCTTTAGTCTTTCTAACAACCTTTTATTCATGCAAGAAAATACTGTTTTTCTCCCAGACCCAGTTTTTATTCAGTTCCAATAGATTTGGACGCATTGTAACCTCAATCAACTATAGTCTTCTTGAAGAATCCATATAATTCATAAAAATAGTCACGATAATAATTTGTATATTTTTCATTAGAACTTGTTGTTCTTTTCTTAAAATAGCTGCTGTTAGGAAGTTTTTCACGAAGGCAGGTATTAATTATTTGGTCTCCGATATGATTGGAATCGGAATTCATTTTGAGTTGTTTTTTTTCTAAGGGAACTCATTTCCAAGCTGCAGGGCAATTTATAGTAATCTGTCTCAGATTTTGAAAAAATTGGTAAAAATTAGTGTTCATTAATCGAACATATCACTTAATCAAATTATTAAGTTGAGATACTCGTTTGAAGCACAATGTAACGTTCTTTAATTTCTTAAAGAAAACGTTTTTCGCTTCGATGCACTGCTTAGTAGTAATATATGAAAAAAAAGATCATATAAATCTAGCTTTTTTGGCTGTAAGAAGTGTTCTTTATAAAAAGTGATCGGTGTTAACAATTTTGTTTTTTACATGTCTAAACCCATACACAGGGTGTCCCGTAAGTTGAGGGACATATTTAAAGGAGTGATAGCAGAACTCAAGAACTACGAAAAAGTTTATATAAACAATGGTTCGATTTTCAACAGGAAAGTAGGAAATTAAAGTTTTATGATTTTTTTAAGTAAGTCAGGTTTTTTGTTGAATAGTAAGTGATAACTAAAAAACTTTTTAATTTAAGTAATTAACGATTGCACTATAAACTAGAAAAAAATTACTTTAGATAAAAATAGAATTTTATTTTGTTAAAACCATTAAAAAAGGACTTTAGAGTGGCTTAACTCAGCTAAGGAGTGGGGAGAGATGGGTAGTGGTGGGGAAACGAGTAGTGGTTGGAGAAAAACCTGGTACAGCCCCCCCCCCCTCCGCCCTCCCCCGGGTGGATCCACTAGTGCTGCATCGAACCTACAATGCTTTCAAGGGCAGAAACTTGGTTTTTTTATACTCGCTACATACCTAACAATATAAAAAGGAAATTTGAATTACTTGACGTTTTACAAGGTAACATGTATAATTTGACTGGACTATCAAATAGATGAGGCAAAAAATTATAGAAGCAAAGATCAAAGGAAAAGCATGAATCAAACTTTCAGTTTTAAACTAATATATTTTATGAACAGTACAAAAAAAAACATATATGTGTAACTAAAACTGAATCATTATAAATTAAATTTGAACATTATAATAGATATAATTTATAAGTAGCCAGAGCAGGAACTACATCAGACCACTTAGGAAATTTTTTAAGAAATTTATGAAAATCAGATGAATAATTTTGCTGATGGTGGAAGTATAAACTGTACACTTCAATTGTAATTACTGAATCCGAAGAATCCTTTAATGCCTGAAAAAAAAAAAAAAAAAGATCATAACAATATATTAAATTAAATAAAAACATATAATATATCAATAGATTAAATTACAAAAGTTAACAAAGAATGGTACATATTTTAATCCTCAAACCCGTTATAAAACCAGCAGTCCCCAAACCTTTTAGCCTAAGGGTCAAACAAACTTCCCTACAAATTCTCAAATGTCAAGTTCTAACCAGCATATCATAAAAACATATTCATTATCATTAATTATGTACACCAGTTATTGTGTTTCGAAACTGGTCATAAAATAAAAATATCTTATTATTATTTTGTATGATTCACTTATATGGCAAATGTTACAATTTATTCAAAAAAAGAGTTTTTTATGTTTTACTAACATTGTAAACTTTACAATTAAAAAAAAAAAAAAAACCATAGCGGGCTGAATGCAAAGTGCTCAGGTGCATGGAAGGCTCATGGACAATAAAGACCCTTATTTTAAACTAAGTGCCAATGCTACGAAATCTTACAAATGAAACATGTATATTGATTAATTAGAAGAAAAATATTATTTGTTCATTACCTCTAATACAATAGTTTGTGATGAATTATGGATTCCTTGAACAAATGATGCTATGTTTGAAGTCTGTGTAACTTGGGATGGTAAATTCCAACCAAGGAGTGTTACATTTTCAGATGGGGTAACAATCAGCCCCATATGATCAGAACCTATTATATATGTTGATTAAAATAAAATTTATAGGTGATGTTTAAAGATAAAAAAATCATATATATGAGAATAAAAATTGTCTTGTATCCAAGTGGTCCATGATCCAGTTATATTCAAAATTATTTGAGAAATAAGTAATTAAAGTATTATAATAATTAAGAAGAAAATATTAAAACGAAATATGAGGAAATAAATACGGTGAAACAACTTAAGTTTTTAGGAGAATGAGTAGAATAAAATGGAGGGGATAGGTAATTAATGAGGATTAGTGAAGCAAAATTAGTTAAATTAAGATCCCTAACAAAAAACATACAAAAAGAATTAATACTATGGAGGGGGGTAGAGTGAACATAACACTGTAGTGAAACCAGTGATATTGAACAGCCCAGAAACAATAAAGTTCACAAATATAGAGGGATTATTGAAAACGAGAAGGAAAATCTTGAAAAATATATCTGGCATATGTGCATAGTGTGTTAAGTGCAAAAAGCATACTTATGGAAAAAAGCAATAGAAAGTTTGGTATTTTCACAGGAGTAAGTTCAATTTTCAAATTTCAACCAATGATTCACAAAAGAATATTCATCTCAATAATAGCCGCATAACTTAGCCTATTAGACACAAAGAAAGAGAAAATTAGCTTTCTAGTAGTAGCCATCAAAATTCACAAACTGCACTTAATACGCTTTTCACAGGTGCCACAGATATTTAGACCAAAGAAAATAGAGAGGAGGTACACAAGAAGCAAAATTTTATTAACTGTTATGCCTCAAGATTATAAAGGAGTATCTAGGTAAAACAGATTAAGGAAAAAATAGTAAAACTGGGGATAAGAAGGGAGGGTTGTTTGTATATGATTAAATTTATAAAACAGATTAGGAATTGGTTTCATCCTATTCATTTTCTGAAGAAAGGAGTGGATAGAAGAAGTGGTCAGAGGAGAGGAAGACACAACACTTCGAAAGGATGAGTGAAGTGTGGAGGAAGAGAAAAGAAAAGGCACGACACTGCTTTAAGACATGCCAAATTTATCTAAATTGTAAGCATTCATCGGAGCTAGGAAAAGATACAACTACAATATATAGGAGAATAATAAATATAATAGTTATTTTAAGAGGGAATATGAACCAACAAAAGAGTATAAATAGGAATACTTCCAAAATAGAGAAGTATATGATATAAAAAGTTGTAGACATAAAATAAGGAAAATTAATAAATAAAACAAAATAAATATACAAAATTCAACTATAAAAATGTACTTATTATATACTCAAGCTTAATCTTCCTCAATCTTAATGAGCTACATAGTTCCCTCAGGTTGACCACTTCTAACTCTCACATCCAAACTCTTCTTTTATACTTATATCAATAATCTATGTCTGTTTGCTCATCCTCTCTATATGTCAATATTATCTCAACATAAGTTTTACAAAAGATAAAAATAACAATCGTGTTTGTTTTGATATATTTTTGTTTTGTCATTTCGGTTGTAGCTGTTCATTTTTTGTTCCGTTTATTGCATCACTCCTCATAGTAAAAGCAAAAGTTAAGTTCTTTTATGAATTCCATTGGATATTCAACTATTTAAATAAGGAAAATTATAGTAATCATTTTGAGTATTTATTTCAAATGTCATTGCTCTGCAGGGATGTGGCCTAGAATTTCCCTGATGTATTCTCTGCGTGTTGAAACAGGTGACTAAAAGAGAACCCTTCCCCCTCTTTCCTCTGGGAAGAGGGACCCTCCTATAGCCTGAATGGGGTAACAAGAAAGCCTGTCAGATCAGTAGGGGCTGCAATACCATCTCAGACCCTGAAGCAAGAGGGGAGCCTTGCTTGCAGCTCGAAGGATTAACTTCAGCAAGACTGGTCCTCCAGGTTGGAGATTGTGCGTTGGGCTGGTAACCCATCCATGGAAAACAATCAACATTGCGAATACTAAAAAGAAAAAGCTGGACTGATCTCACGGAAACGTCCATAATCGGACAAAAAAATTGTGATCGGAGACTTCAATGCCCAGGTCAGAAGGGAAATGGCCTACAAACCAACAATTGGAATGAACAATCTGGATGATGAATCGAATGATAATGGCAGACGCATGGTGGGCCTGGTTGCTTCAAGGAGACTAGTGGTTGGTAGCACCATGCTCCCTCATAAAAGGATACATAAAGCAACATGGAGGTTCAATGTGGGACTACATTGAATCAGATAGATATATCCTGAAGAGCGCTATACACATAGCAAGCCTAAACGATGTAAGGACATACCTTGGAGCAAACATCAACCTAGATCACTATCTGGTCATATCTCAAATCAGGGCTAGAATCTCTACCGTTCGGAAAGGAAGAAGAGTACCTCAGCCCAAGTGGAATATTGATAAGCTCAAAGACCCTGAAATGAAAAAATCGATTTGTTGACACTATGGATGAAAAACTGTGAACCTTGACCCTGGAAGGTGGTACTGAGGACAATTGGGAAATATGTAAGGAAGCGGTGAAAGTCGTTGCCGACGGGGTTTTGGGGCTCCAGTCTCCCAACCTTAGGAAACCATGGTTTGATAAGGAATGCGAAGCTATAACTGTTCTCAAGAAAGAAGCTTGCAAGCTGACCCTACAGAGAAACACTAGGTGCTCGGAAGACATATATAAGGCCTTGAGGATGCAAGAAAAACACTTACACCGGAGAAAAAAAAAGGATCCAAAAGTCTGAAGAGCTCCAGACGATTGAGGAATTTTGAAGCCAAAATGAAGTTTAAAAATTATATAACCTGGTGAATGGACTCTGGAAACCCTTCAAGCACCAGATTGCCGCCTGTAGGGATTCAGACAGTACCCTCCTAAACGAGAAAATAGAATACTGGACAGATGGAAGAGCCACTTTTATGATCTCTTAGGAGATGCTAATCTGCCCACTACTAGCATGGAGACAAAAGTAGACGATTTTGAGCCCCCCGACTCTGAGGAGGTCGAGGAAGCCATTAAAAACCTACAAAACAACAAGGCTCCCGGTGCAGATGGCTTACCTACTGAGATCATCAAGTGTGGTAGCCAAGAACTCACCAAAGTCCTGCACCAAATAATTCAAGGAATTTGGGGAGGGGAAAGAATCCCATCAGAGTGGTATAAAACCATAATCTGCCCAATACACAAAAAGGGTGATGTTCTTGAATGTGGGAACTACTGAGGGATTTCTCTTTTGTCATGCGCCTACAAAATACTCTCACGAATACTATTGCTTAGGCTCCTCCCTTTTGCCGAGAGATAAATAGGAAAGTATCAAGCAGGTTTTATGAGGGGTGAAGAAAAGACTGATCAGATTTTCTCTCCAAGAATGATGTTGGAGAAAGACCGTGAATATAACATTCAAACCCACTACCTCTTCATCGATTTCCGGGCTGCGTATGACAGTGTACTGAGAGAGGAACTGTTCAGGCTGATGTTGGAAATGAGTGTCACTAGAGGACTGGTATGCTTGATTCGTCTAACAATGGAGTCCATCCAGTGCTTTGTATGAGTGGAGGGCGAGTTATCGGATGCTTTCACCACCTGCAACGGCTAAGGCAGGATGATGGGCTGGCCTGCCTACTGTTTAATTTTGTCTTAGAAGGAGCCATTAGGCAGTCAGAAATTCAGATTGGCAGAATGATTTTCAATCGCACGGTGCAGCTCCTTGGATACGCTGATGATATCTACATCATAGGTAGGACGTTTATGGCCATGAGCAAAGCCTTCTTAAGCCTTGGGACAGCAGCTGCATGGTTTGGACTGCAAGTTAATCAGTCCAAGACTAAATACATGAACACTAATACCACAAGAAGAGTCCATCCAAGTTCAAAGATACACATTCGATACTGTGAACGAATTTATATACCTGGAATCTCTAGTTACAAGCGACAATGCAGTGGGGGCTGAAGTGCAACGCAGAATACAGGCAGCCAACATATATTATTTTGGACTAGTCCTGCAGCTTAAAAGCAGGGTAATCTCCCAAACAACAAAGCTGTGACTGTATAAAACCCTAATTAGGCCTGTTCTCACCTATGGTGGTGAGGCGTGGACGCTGACCAGGGCACTGGAGGAAGACTTGCTCCGCTTCGAAAGGAACGTGCACAGGAGGATTATGGGACCAATCTATGATCCAGAGGGGCCCACCTGGAGAAGGCGAACAAATCAAGAAATAATGACCATGTACAAGGATAGGGACATCGTCCATTTTATGAAGGTGGAACGGCTCCGGTGAGCTGGTCATGTGGCTAGGATGAGCTCAGAGCAGCCAACTCGAAAGATCCTGGATGAGAATATCGAAGCAAAACGAAGGGTCGGACGCCCAAGGCTGCGCTGTCAGGATGATGTGACATCGGACGCCCGCTCTATCCTGGGAACAGGAAACTGGAGAGCAGCATTACAAAGAAGACAAGACTGGAAGAAATCATTACAGGAGGACCTGAATCCTCATGGGTAGTAGCGCCATTAAATAATAATATTTCAAATGTCAGATGGAAAATGGCCATTTTAAATAACTTATTTAAAACAATGTGTGGGCACAATAATTTGCTGATACATAATAGCACTAACAGATCCAGGATTTAATTTTGAGGAAGGCTTTAGCCCGAAAGTCGCCCTCCTCCATAGATCCGCCTTTGCATAATTCATTCATTTGACTCAAAGGTGGATGCTGGAAGGACTGAAATGTAGTATTATATATAATATTATATATATATATATATATATCACTAACGTTCTTCCAACAAATATGAAAATATATATATAAACTCCTGCATAGGGTTACTATGCAAGAGAAAAAAAATGTATATATATATATATATATTTTGCACTAAAGCACCAGTCACATTATTTAATACCTACACCACACATAACATAATAGTAAAAATAAATTACCTGAGATTTGAAATTCAAGATGAAATTCCTTTCCAATCAACTCTTTTGAAATAATTTCCAATTGAGTCTCATCCTTTAATCCATGGGATGCAAAAGGAATACAGGTACTCCCAGTTCTATATATTTAAAAAAAAACCGGTGTATATGTATATGTGTACTTTTTCCAAGTCAAATTCAACCTTTTCCAAATCAAATTCAACCTTTTCCATTCAAATTCAACCTTTTCATTTCAAATTCAACTTCTGAATTTTTGTAAATTTTCAAAATAAGAGCCACTATATTATCGAAGGCGTAGTTTTTAAAAATTATGATAACCCGGTTGCATATTAATTTATTGTTACTTTTCAGATTTTTTTGATATAATATTTCCATGTCATATTCAATTTTATCCAAGTCAAATTCAATCTTTTTCATTTCAAACTAAACTTTTTTTGTTTTTAATTTTCCAACGTGTAGGTCAATTATTGTGCTCTCCTGAATGGAATTTTTCAAAATACTATTGATTTTACGTTACACTTATGGATATCTATTTATTGTACCTATTCGGATTTATTCGATATAAGGGTCCAGTATTATGATATTGTATGTGTAATTTTTGAAAGTACTATTGGCTTTAAGAATATGTGGTCGAATATCGATTTATTGAACCTTTTTGAATTTATTCTGTATAAGGGACTAGTATTATGTTATGGTATGCCTAGTTTTTGAAAATAATCTTCACTAGCTGACCCTTGCAAATAATCCGCACAAACCTAATATTTGTATTTGATTTTAATTCATTAAGGGCTTAGCACAGCTTCCATTCATTAATGTTTGATACACAAAGGTTTAATACATATATCTAATAAGCCATCAGTTTATAAATATGATTTACAATCAGTCATGGTTTAACCAATGCATTTCCTTAAATTTATAATTCAAAAATTGCTTTGAACCTCTGATGATGACAAAAGACAAAAGGCTCAAATTCCCCAGAAGAAATAGTTAGACCAATTAGAATGTATGTTACTTTATCATTTAAAAAAAAAAATCAATCAAATCAATCATTTGTACAAGTTTTTTTAATTTCTTCGATATAAGGATCTATGGAGAGATCTTGACTTCCTAACCACTGAGAACATCACTCCTTATCTCGATTCCATATCAGTTACCTAAGAACCAATCTACTACCTTTCCTCCATCGATGACAAGGTGGAATGCCTTTCTTCTAACCTCCTTGACTTCCTTAATCATCATGCTCCTCTTAAAACCCATATTTTCAGACATCCCTCTGCTCCCTGGTTAAATCCAGAAATTAGAGAGTTAATGAGCAGCAGAGAGGCTGCCAGAAGATGATAAAGACATACACGACTGCCCCAACACTATACTACCTTCAAATCTCTATGAAGCAGAACACAAATATCCTTATGACGTGCTAAAGCACAATACAATGTATTATCCCAAGCATCTAACCTTAAAACCAAATGGATAATCCTCAGAAACCTCTCTGCTATCAGCTCCAAAACTTGCACACTTTATCCAGCAGATCCTATTACATATCTACAATTTAGAATGTTCTTTCTATATCTCAAATTTAACTTATTTCAGACTTACACCCCCAATTTCAAACATCCTTAAAAATGGCGAAGACACAGTACAGTTAGAGCCGATTTATTTTTAATTTAACAATTTGATAAACAATATTTAAAAGTTAAAATCTAAATATAGTTCAGCGAAAAACAAAACTAAACGCAGGCATTGATTATCTTGATGTTTTACGCCTAAATAAACCCCAAAAAACAACAAATATCTACAATTTATCCCTCCAAAATTCCATTTTTCCTTAAGCCAGGAAAAAGTCATTACCCAGCCGTTGAACAGGATTCCTGCTCCTTCATTAGCTTCCGACTTCAGATCCATTTCCATTTTATCCAATTTATCTAAGCCTCTAGAAAGATTAATTCATTCCCAGTTGAATAACTTTTTTGAGCAAAGCGCTCTTCTCAATCCGATTTTCTTTCCTAATATTCCACTTAATCTGCCTTGTTAAAGATTACCCAAGACCTCCAATCCGCTATTGATAAAAATAGAAAATCTCCATAATAATCCTTTCCAAACTCTAAAGCCGACCCATATTAAATAGCGTTCTAAAATGGTTCCTCTCATTTCTGTCCCATCGCTCCCTAACAGTTGTTATTCCAAACAAATCTCCTTCCTCATCCCTTCAATTGTCTTGAGTTGATCCTCAGGGCTCCTCATTCTCTCTGACCCTTTTCTCCATTTATATTAGTGACCTTCTTGACTCCATTCCTCAATCCTGCTATCACTTATATGCAGACAATTTCCAAATTTACCTATCCTTCCAACCTTCTGAGATGCCAGAGGCTATCCAAAAACTGCATGAGGATATGACTGTATCCACAGATGGGCAGAAAAAAAATGAACTGAACGCAGATAAAACTAAGGCTCTCCTCATCAGTTTCAGGCATCTCATCAGTTCCCTTCCTTTCTCTCTATTTTGCCTAAATAACCGCTCCATCCATTTCTCTACGACAGTCAAAAACCTTGGAATAATCTTTGATCAGAACCTCTCTTGGAATAACCACATTTCCCAGATCTCTCGAAAATCCATAACTATCCTCAAACAATTCCTACGATTCTATGATGATACATGATTCTATTCCAAAAACAACCAGACAGCTCCTTGTAACATCCCTTATTTTCCCCCACTTCAACTACGGTTGTTTGATTTATAGAGGGCTATCCACAAGGCTGGAAAGACTCATGAATTGCTTTATAAGATTCATCTATGGTATCCCCAGGCGTACTCATATTTCCTCCCCATATACCAATTCCTTCTTGGTGTTTTTCTTTTCCAAGTCCTCAGAACAAAAATCCTCCTCACATCCTAGAACTCCTTACTCTACGTTCCTCTATCCATCATCAACAACTCCTATTCCACCACCTACTACACATCCAAACTTCCGCCAGCTTATAAGAATTTTTAGGCTATGTAAATACAATTGCCCACCAATAGTTGAATGGATAAGAGCCTTTTCATTTTTCTCTCTGTATTTTTTGTATATATCTGTATCTTCTCCTAGTATTTTTTTTTATATATTTGTATCATATCCACATGGCAGACTGAAGTATATATTTTCTGAACTCTAAGGGAACTTTTATTCTAAGGGAACTTTTCAGAACAAAATTAATTTTTCATTTCATTCACATGTTTTCAGAGCAGTAGTTTTTGAAAATGACCTCCATTTTAAGATTATGTCAATGCCTTCCTAGTAATTATTTTTTGGGGGAATTTTTTTCAATGCAAAGTTTCATCAATATGTTTTCGAACATAAATAAATAAATATTTATAAACTAAATAGATGAATAAAATAATATTTATTCTTATAAATGAGAATATAATATATAAATGGAATATGTTTTATATAATACTAGTGTTCACCCAGTGGTCGAAATTTGACCATAGCCATTAAAAATTTGAGGAAAAGATATAATTAAATAAAAGATAAATTAAATAAACAAAGAGTAAATCACTATTCAAAAATCCTCATTTATTAATACAAACAAAATTTCAACTTCAATTAAAAATCAAGCTTAAGTCATTTAAAATTATTTATAAGTAATACAAAATAGACTCATTCAAGAATATTTAATTTTCATTTTAATTTATGTGTGTTATTACCACAATAAATTAATGTTATGATTAAGGAAGTAAAAAATAAATTTAAATTAGCAATTTAAATTCACTTTAAATCCATTTTTATTCAGAACTTCTATGTATGTATTTAGTGCATAGCCATGCCCATTGCCAATGATAATATAAATTTCAATATTTTAAATGAACGTGCTCTAATTGCTGCCACATATAATTGTTCATGCAAAATTACTGGAAGTCACAATAATACACACATTTTTCCAAAACTTTTATTCTGCGATTTGATTATGGTCATAGCAAATGCAGCTATTAATAGGAACGTTGTTCTTTTAAAGTCGAATGTAAGTATAGTGTCAGAAAATGTTAAATTAATTCTTGGAATTAAAATTCTTTAATTTGAAGAAGTCCCCGTTAATACTTCAGTCTCATTCCTGTTCCATTAACTAATCCTTGTGCAGTATTTAAGTTAACAATGAATATAATTATAGAATATATTTTTTAATTTAATTTATGAGGTATCATTCCATTAACATTACATGATGTCATCTCTTCAAATAATAGACCCAATTACCTCAGTAAGTTTTCGATTTATCAAAAAACAAAATTAAGGAAATCGAATTTGCAAAAGAAAAAGTATTAAATGTTTAAAATGATATATCTCTGCAACAAATAGTCCGATTATGGTGATTTTTTAAAAAATATTTTGTATGGAATTCAGGAAGCTTTCAAACAAATAGAGGTATTATTGGTAAAAAAAATGTGTACTTTTTGAGTTATTCGCAAATAAAATACTGAATTCATCATAAAAATGTATGCAGCTTGTTTTCGGGAATGTATGTTTATAAATAAATTATAAAGGTTTCAAGGGGAAGACTTTAGCCAAATTCATTGAAATCGTTGAAGCCGTATTGGCACTGCAGTCAAAAGCGAATCACGTTTTTCGGCCACCATTTCGAAAGGAAAGGCCAGATGATAATGAAACGTACACAAAAAAACTTCTAAATATAATTGCGACGTTGTGTCAAAATTTAAAAGAAATCGGTGAAGAACTTTTGGAGATAAGCTGTTTTGAACAAACTACCATTTATATTTTTGTTTACATACTATTTAATCTTTTTATTTATTGATAACACTAAAGCTCGTCAATATCTATTAAACAAAAAAAGAAGGAAGAAAATCGGTTGAATAATCTCTATCTATTATTACTCCTCTGAGTAAAAGGGGCTGAACCGATTTGTGTTTGCCTATTTATATAATGATAATAATTATTCTTCATAATATAATTATATTTATACATAATAAATAGATTTTTATGAAGCGTTACCCGATTACTTCGACCACTACGGGTTCGATTCCCGCATGGGGACAGTAATGTTCCCACACAGAGATTCACAGGGAGGTGAGAGACCACTGTGTCTTACGCCATAGCTCCTGGTCCTCCAGGTTGGGGTTGGGCATAGGGCTAGTAACCCTATCCCTGAAAAAATATCTTATTACAAAAACTAAACGAAGTTTCAGAAAATTAGACTGTCTAAAGATGGTAACAACCTTGGTTTTGAATCATAGACCATATATTGGATCTTGGAACATACTTAGTTTATACAGATCAGGAGCTGCAAAAACGGAAGTTAAGGAACTAAAAAGATATAACATACAAGTAACAGGATAGAGATCAAACTAATTTCAACGGTGAGATAGCGGCGATCCTCATAGCCTTAAGAACATTGTCTAGAAGGCAGAACCACAGCGCTGTTCTCTTCATCGACTCTCAAGCAGCCATCCTTGCTGTTACAAACACGAATAAATGTGTATCAAGTGCTATATCGGAATGCAAATCCCTCCTCTCTAACCTGACAGTCCGAGGTACCAATGTGGTCTTACACTGGATTCCCAGCCATTGTGGGATTCCGGAGAATGTTGAGGCTGATAGTCTTGCCAAGTGAGGAACAGATTTGCCTCAGCCGATACATCCAAAACCTTATGATTCAATACAGCGAATGGAAAAGATGGCAGTGTAGGAAGAAATTAGAAAAGCACACTTGGACAAAGTGTAAGGGAAATATTATGAGTGTTTGAAAGATAATCCGATTCCAACTGAACTACCGAGAAGAAATGCATTTGCCTGCTTCTGCCTGGCCACTGGTCAAGATTATCTTCAGAGTCATCTCTACAAGACAGGCGAGGCTAAGGATCCTAGTTGTAAATTGTGTCATCAAAGAACAATGGATGCAGACCATCTAGACACATGTTCTGCCTTGACGGACATAAGAGAAAAAACATTTTGAAATATATATATTTAAAAATCTAAGTTATAATGGGCAGCAAGATGTCGGATGGCCAAATGACCAACGAATTTAGCATAAGAAAAAAAAAACAACAGTCAATCAAGAGATAGGGTGGCCAGATGGTGGCAAAACCATTATCGACAGCCATACACTATTCTACTCCGGGAGAAATGATAAAAATGCGACAGCCAGCCCTTTAGGGATTTACAATTAGTCCAAAGGCAAGCAAATCAATCATAAACTTCATCCCAATAAACAAAATAATTAGTGTATTAAGAGTTAAAAGTTGTTGGTTTAATACCACGGTAATTAACGTGTATGCACCAACTGAAGATAAAGATGAAAAGGTGAAAGATGATTTCTACGATCAGCTGGAAAATAGTGTGGACCAAGCTCATAGGTATGGAATAAAATTAGTCATAGGTAACTTTAATGCAAAGATGGGACAAGAACCCTAATTCAGGCCCATTATCAGCGCCCAAAGATTTCACGAAAATAGCAATGTCAATGTAATAAGGTGTATCAGTCTGGTAGGAGCTAAAGGTATAGTGGTCAGCAGTTCAATATTCCTACACAAGGATATCCACAAGTACACCGTGATTACTACACCCAAAGGAGCAGAAAAATATATTGACCATCAGAGCTCAATACAAGATGTGAGAAGCATTCGTGGAGCAGACTGTGATTCGGATCACTCTCTGATTAGAATTAAACTATGTCAGAGATTGAAGCGAATTCACAAAACAGGGGATCGAGTGAAAAGAAGGAGGTAAGAAGTCCGCAATTTGAAAAGTCCTGAAGTAAAAACCAAATTCCAACTTGAGCTGAAAAATAAATTCGAACCCTTGGATTCGGATAGCCTCATGGTGGAACAAAACTGGGAAGAAATAGAGAAAGGACTAAAAGAAACAGCTAAGAAAGTAATCGGTATTCAGGAGAAACGAAAAGCTAAGATGTGGTTCACAGAAGCATGTGAAAAGGCAGTAGAGGAAAGAAGAAAAATGAAAGTCCTCTGCCTAGCTACAACTGATCAAATTGCTCAGTACAAGTACCCGGCTGCCAAGAAAGAAGCAAAAAAAATTATAAGATCAGCAAAAAGGGAATTCCTCAAAGAAAGATTGCAGACCATTGAGGAAAACTGGCATACCGGAGATATATGCAAACTCTACATAGACATTAAAAAAGAAACGGTAGTATATAAAGAAGTATACTATGAGAAGTACGCAAATGTGAGGAAAATATGGCATTCTGACTGCATCTAAAGAAAAAATATATAGGGGCCATGATCCCGGAGATGTTGAAAAAATAGATATACTGGATATAGAAATAGCTATTAAAATTCTCAAAACAAGAAAGGCCCCAAGGATAGAAAACCTACCATCAGAACTGTTTAAAGATGAGGGAGACGACTTAAGAGCCAAGCTACTACAACCAATTTAGAAAATATGGGAAACAGGGAAAATATATAAGGATATCTGAGGCTTGGAATACGGGTCCTAATCTGTCCTATCCTAAAGAAAAGCTCTATGTATGAGTGTAGTAATTACAGAGGCATGCACTCCTTCCGGTCACCTACAAGATAATGACCAATATTCTACTAAACCGGATGTATCCATATTACAAAAGTATACTAGGCAACCACCAAGCTGGATTCAGAAAAGGAAGGAGCACACTAGACCAGATCTTCATCCTAAAGCAAGTACTCAAAAAACCATGGGAAGTAGCTCAGGACATCCATGCCCTATTTGTCGATTTCAAAGCAGCCTCTGATTCTGTGGACAGAAGCTGTCTTTGGAAAATCATGACTGAACTGGGAGTTCCTGGTAAGTTGGTGAGATTGAAAAAGGTGTGTACCAATGACCCTAAATGTGGAGTCCTAATACGAGGAGAAGTATCTGAAGCCTTCAAAGTTCGAAGGGGCTAACAGCAGGGAGATTGAACCATGTATGTAACAATGAATGCCTCAAATAAAAGGCAAAAGACAATGTGGAAGGCCAAAAAGCAGATGGATAGATAAATTTAACAATGTACAATAGAGTTGCGTGTAGATAAATGGAAAGAAATAGCCCTAGACAGGCAGAGATGGAGCAGGTTTGCTAAGGCGGCAAAAGATCTAACATGGTCTGTAATGCCAACAGAAAAAAAAAAAATTATGAAACTAAGGTTAAGTTAACCACAAAACAAATAAATAAAAAACTGAAAAAGGAACTTGTAATAAATTTAACCAAAAATTTACAGATTTTCAGCTAATAATTTAAAATTTGTATCTTATCATTTTGTAATAAGATACGGCAATACTTTTGAATTTATTTATACTCAAGAAAATTTAATTAGACTAAGAATAGTATAAAAAAAAAAAAAAAAATACCAATATCTCACAGATCGGAATTGTTGATTTTATCTGAAAAATGATCTCGAACATTAAGCTGCGTATCTTTTAATTTAAATGGAAATAATTAAAAAAACCTACGGCTCCGGATATTTTTCTTCAAAGAAATTCAAAAAACTTTAATAAATTGAAACACATTGGCGTAATATGAAAATGGAGATTATTTTCAAAATATCATATAAGTAAATCCTTATATTGATTAAATCAGAAAAACTTAAATAAATCGAAACACAGTGGCGTAATTTTGGTAAGCGAAAGTAGTGTCATGCATTGCACCAGATTTTTTATTTTCAAATAGAAAAATCAAATCATGATTTTAATTTTGTTAGTAAAAAAATAAAAGTCATGTTTTGATGTGGTATGTTTTTTGGTAATATACAACAAATAAGTTCTGAGTTTTTGAAAAGTATTTTGTTTTGTTTTTTGTAGAAAACTAAGATTATATAGGATATTTATGTAGTACAAAAGATAAAATTAAGTTGAAGGAAAAAGTTAATTTATGCAAAGCAAAAAATTTATCAAATGCATTTTATAACAAATCCAGATTGGATCTACTGTATTTAACATTCCTGCTGTCAGATCGTGACGTTATTTTTTTTATTAAGTTTCACTATTTAATGAACTCCTCTGTGTTTATTCTAATCCAGTTTTCTTTTTATTTTAATTAGTATTTAAACTTCAGCATTAGTGTTAAAATTAGTTAATAAGATTCAATAGTTATTAATATATTTAAGTTTCCAAATTTAAAATCTTCATTTCAATGCAAGGCCATCAAAGGAGTAAACTAAGAGACGAATTGAAATTATAAATTATCTTGTAGTGTTGCTACTACTTTCTATTGACAGAGTACTGCATATTATATGCTAAGGATGGAACATTATAATGGTGCATGACTAATTTTTTTCTTCAAACAAGACACCAAATTTCAACTAAGCTCTTAGACTAAAAGACATAATAACATTTTTAATGATATAAGGGAGAAAATAAAAATAACATAAGCAATAGATTGATATAAATTATTTTCCATATAAGTCAAATATAAAAATCATTATTTGAAGAGTAACACAGTTATTACCTTTCTCTCACTTTTGAAAACCAAGGAAGTCCACAATATCCATTTTTCTCACAAAATTCATCAAGACGTGAGGCATCCCGTAAGAAGGGAATCAAATGCCATCCTCTTCTTTCCATACTTTGAATCCAAAACAATGAATCAGAATACTCAGTAGACATTTGTGAATTAAAAAATTGTCTATTCACGTGCTTAAAAAAAAAGTACATAAACATATATATATATATATGTATATATTTGCTTTAATTTAACTTATATTTTAACCAAAATATGTTTATGTTAAAAACTTACAGTTACGAATATCCTCTGTGGTGTTTCAACAGAAAATGGAAAACCCATAGGTGAAATTACAAATAAAAATGACATCAAATGAAGACCCAACATAATTTTTAAAACCACCCGTTGTTTTTTCACATGCAAAAATAAAGTAGTCTGAAAATACCATATGAACATAAGAATTTAACAGTAATGATAAAAAAGCATGTACATGTTATAACATTAATATTTATCAGATAAGAACTATAAAAGAGTAAGGCTTAATTTGTTTTGCAAGTAGCTTAAATTATTATAAAAAAGTAAAATGATAAATCCATGGATTATAAAGCTACTATCCATTTGATATGTGTTAAGTTAAGATATACAATAGTAATTATTCTAGTATATTTTAAGCTTACCTAAATTAAAAAATAATGGTATAATAATCTGAAAACTATTATGGCTCAGTTATTTAGAGGTATAAAGCTCATTTGGATGATTCTAATCTACAATTTTGTGATTCACTTTTTTTTTTTATAAGTAATAAGAAGTTACTAGGTTCTTCATTATTAATAAGAGCTCAAGCTCACTTATGAAAGTACTACGTTAAGAAAAACTAACAAATATGGCTAAAACAAATTGGCATACAACAAATCTGATAATTACACCTTTAAAAATCAAGCATTTATAATTTGACATGTAACAAGAATATTAACACCACAATACAAATTTTAAACCACTAAAGATAGAAATTCATTTGTACTGCTCATCCGGTAGCGACTGGCCATCATCTGTTACTTCCAACCATAATTGTTTGTGTTTTACTTTAAAATATTTCAAAATAAAAAAAATAGATTTAATTTAATGGTTTTCATTTGTATCTCAAGGATAGGAATTTATCCAGTGGTGGAGTTGTGATCTTAGAGAGAAATACTTTATTGAAAGTAATGCTGCCCTAGTAGATAGGGTTACTACATACACAGAATACAGATCAATCCATATGAACATAATTATTACATTACATTATTGTATTATTATATATATATATATAATATAATATATATATATATATATATATATATATATATATATATATATATATATATATATATATATATATATACATACGGTTGGGGTAGCCGTACGGGCTAAGGCGCTTGCAATAGGTAATTAAAGTTAAGCAACGTCGAGCATGGTTAGTACTTGGATGGGTGACTGTCCACCAGGAAAAGCCATGCTGTCTCCCCCCGGATATGTGAGACCTGTCATTCAACTGGAGGCAACTCACACCAACCGGACGTAGGATTGATGACCCTACCCCGTGTACTTAATCGGGAATCGGGATGTGGTCTACCAGGATGTTAATAGCCCCCCTGGGGTTCAGTCCATGGACTGTCTGTTTCGGGGAAAGAAATATAGGCCCTCGTAAGCCTGCTGACTCCGAGCAGTCATAATCCATGGATCTAGACCGATTTGTTACTGTCCTTGAAACTGAGTGAGTCGGTGGGAAGGACACTGCCAGATTGGTCCCAAAGGGATCGGCTATGGAGTTACGGATGGCCTGCCGCTGCACCATGGAGATCATGGTTCGTAGCAACGTGAGGTTGGGTGACCTCCTCCAGGCTATCTGAGCTCCCTCAAGCAACATACTTCTGGAAGGAGACCACATCAGGTGGCCAAAGATCTTTATGGTCTGCAGTGCCAACAGAAAAAAAAAAAATAAAATTAAAAAAAAAATATATATATATATATATATATATATATTGTAATGTACACCTTTATTGAAAGTGAGTAAAAATGGTTTAATAAATTAATATTGAACAATTAAAAGGCAAGCTAATGTAGTTCTACTAGTGCAGGGAAAAGAAAATGGCTGCTCTATAGTTTTCCAAGATGAAAAATCCCAAAGAGGAGAGGGAAAAAGCTTTTGGTTTTGGCAAACAGTTGTGTGACTGCAGTGAAGAGAGGTTAAGAGAAGATATCATATCCTGGCTCCAGTGGGTAATAGTTTTACCATCTTAGAAAATCTTGTTTGGCAGGGAGAATAGTTGTTTGGAATTGCAAGAGAGAGGATTTCCCAGAGAGCTTGAGTTGAGTGGAAGAATACTGTTATCAATTTGGATAAGTTGTTTGGCGGAACATAAGAAAATGTGTGAAGACAAATGAGTTCAGTGCCACAAAGGAAGAAATATTGTATGTAGAAAAAAGGTTAGCTTGTCAATTCATACTTGACTTTATTTTTAAACCAGTGTTTAATTTTAATATAAATAGTGTAAATAATAATAGTTTGTCTGAGTTGATCTGATTGTCAATTTACCTCTCCTTTAATCCGACAGATATCTCAGATGCCAATCTAAAACTTCAGGAAGACATTGACAGAATAAGTACTTGGGCAAACCTCAATAGGCTCACTCTGAATGCCGAGAAGACAAAAGCCATCTTGATCAGATCCCCCTCACTCCTCAATTCCTCCCCGGTATCTCCCAATCTCCTCCTGAACAACTCACCTATCTTATTCCACACCACCTTTAAAAACCTAGATGTTACTTTTGATCAAACCCTATCCTGGAAACCACACATCTCCCAAATTTCCCGTCGCACTATCTCCACCCTAAAACAGTTCAATCGTTTACGATATCTCCTTCCATATAAGTCCCGTCAACTCCTAGTTTCCTCCCTTGTTTTCCCCCACTTGGACTATGGCTGTATGGTGGACTCTCGGGAGATTCTGAGGCCAAACTTAAACGCCTAATGAATTGTGCACTACGATTTGTTTTCGGAATCTCAAGGGATACGCATATTACCCAGTATTACACTGAGTTGAGGTGGCTCTACCCATCCTATCGCCGTCAGTACTTCCTAGCCATCTTTCACAGCTTACAATTCAAATACTCCATCCAATCCCATCCCACTAGATCTCGTACTTCCGACCTCTATCCTCCTCCTCACCGAACTGCTGCGTTTGACAAATCCTTTGCAATAGAAGCCTCCTCCCTCTGGAATTCCATCCCTGCTAATATTCGACACGTTCAATTAGTTTCCTCTTTTAAACCTCTCCTCTTTAAGCACCTAATCCTTTCTCAATCCGACTGATTGTGAAATATACTTAAGAGAAATATCTAAGCACCGCCAGAGACTACTTCAATTTATTTAGGTTATTTTAGTTACTCATATATATGTACAATTTTCTTGTTCTTTTCTTTCTCTTTTCAGTATTTTTATCGTTAGTCAACTCTTATTGTAAATATACAATCTAATTGTAACCACACAGACATACAATCTGTATTTATATTTTGTTCCAAAGTTACAACAGTCCCAGAATAATAAAATTTTTTTTCATTTCATCAACACTTAGTTCCTTGAGGAAGCTCTTTGATCTTTTTGGAATCGTTCCGCGAGACCCAAACCAGAGTTCTCTCACAGTGAATTCTCTCTCTGAAGGTCTCGCAGAATTAATAGTAATAAGTTAAATCAGAGAGACTTTCAATTATTAAAATCAAATTCTGTTATATTCTTTCTATCTAAAGGATGCTCAAGTCTCTTGGCCAAAGCTTTGTACTAGAACTATAAATTAAATACTTTGGTTTTCAACCACTAGGGGCTGCCAGGGACTCTTCCCCTCCCCTCTCGCTAGGTATGTAAGGCCCGTCATCCTACTGGAGGTATCTCACACCGACTGGGCATAGGACTGATGACCCTACCCCATTTACTTAAATCAGGAATCGGGATGTGGCTTACCAGAATGATAGTAGCCTCTATGAGGTGTGGTCCATGGACAGTCTGTTTCCAGGAAAGAAATATAGATCCTAGTGTGCCTGCTGACTGAGCAGCCATAATACATGGATCTAGACCAATTTGCCACTGTCCTAGAACCCGAGTGAGTCGGTGGGAAGGACATTGCCAGATTGACCCCAAAGTGATCGGCTATGGAGCTAAGGGTGGTCTGGTGCTGCACCATGGCGAGAGGGTGGAGTCCCGGGCAGTTTCTAGTGGTTGAAAACCAAAGTATTTAATTTAAAGTTCTAGTACAAAGCTTTGACCAAGAGACTTGAGCGTGTAAAGCGGCCTTTGGACAGAAAGAACTATCCAATAAGAGGACGGAACTGTATAGAAAAGAGGACGGGCATAAGGTTATCATGATCGAACAGGCCTCGGACCTCGATATATTTACCCGACTACACAGAATTCGTCTACCCTCCATCCTTATCAAAATAACTTATGACAAAATTCCCTTCAAAGAAAGATTTTCGCTTTTAATTGTATTTCTTCACTTCTACATATTAGCCTATGTATTATTTACTATATGCTTTCTATTTTTTGTTTCTTTAAACACTTTCTTTTTTCTCATTTTCATTAATTGTAATAGTTTTTCTGTATTTTTTATTTGTTTTAGTGTTTCTCTACTGAACTCTGACTGTCTCCTTCCAAATACTTCTCATGTCTAGTACCCTAATCACCTGCCATGTTAACTCTCAATCCCTCCCCGCCCACTATGACGAATTCCTGCAATATTTCACTCAAAATTTTTACCATATTATAGCTATCTCCGAAACTTGGCTCAAACCTTATATCCCGTCCTCTTCTGTCTCCCTGCCTAATTACAACCTCTTCCGTCATGACGGGGAAGCCGGACTGGCGGTGGAGTAGCAATATATGTCCACAATAGCCTGAAGACCCGAATACTCGATTTATCCCCATCTTCCAACCACCCACAAATTGAATACCTATTAGTTGAAATCCTTTGTAATACTTCTCCTCTCCTCTACACTGTGGTATACCGTCCTCCTCTTGTTCCATTTCACACGTCCTTTGAATCTACCCTATTGAATTTCGTTCCCCTCTATCCCAGAATAATCATCTCAGGTGACCTCAATACCAATTTCCTATTTAACTCCAATGACAAATCCTATCTAGAAGACCTATTCTTCTCCCTTCACCTCTTTATCGTTCCTTTTTCTCCCACTCACCATACTAGCAGGTCCGACACTTGGATAGATTTCTATATTATAGACTCTGCACAAAACCTCCTCTCCTCTTCACAACTGCCAGTATCCTTTTTGTCATCTCACGATCTGATACAAATAACATATAATATCCAAACTCCTCCTATTCAGCCTCGAACTATCACCTTCCGCCATCTAGATTCCCTTACACGAGAACAAATATTACCTGACCTGGAAATCCTAGATTGGAATAAAATATATTCTTCCACTTATATCGACTCTATGGTCGATATTCTTACTACCAATCTCCTCAATATCCTCAATACCCATGCCCCTCTCAAAACCTCTACATTTCGTCACCGGCCTGCTCCTTGGATGTGTCAGGAAATTAAAGACCTGCAGAAGAGGCGCGACGCTGCTCGTAGACGCTTCAGACGTACTAGGCTTGCAGATGACTACCAAGCGTTCAGGGTGCTTCGCAACTTGACACAAACAAGGATCCGGCGTGCGAAGTCCCTCTACTTCCACGAAACCCTTTCCTCAACTCCTGACATAAAATCAAAATGGCGACTGCTTCGTAAACTCTCCCTTTGTGATCCTTCCCGATCCCCTACTCCACCCTTTCCAATATCCCCTGATGATCTAAACTCGCATTTATATCTGTTGCTAATACCTCTTCTTTATCCTCCTGTTCCGACTTCCTAATAGAGATACCATTTAACGACAATAACTTTTATTTTTCCGACATTTCCCCTACAGACCTTTTAACCGCTGTAATGAAATCCCACACCAATTCCATAGGACCTGACGGCGTCCCTGTCAAACTAATAAAATTATGTCTTCCTGAAATCCTCCCAGTCCTTCTTTTCATCTACAATTTCTCCCTTCAGAATTCAGTATTCCCTACATCTTGGAAACAAGCCATTGTCCTTCCTTTAAATAGAAATTCTAATCCGACCTCACCCGAAGATTTCCGCCCAATCTCAATTCTTTCCAACCTCTCGAAACCCCTAGAAAGATTGGTGCAATCCCAAGTCTCCAACTTCCTTGAAAAGTCCAACCAACTTGATCCTCTCCAATCTGGTTTCCGTCCCAGTTACTCCACACAATCCGCCTTAATTAAAATCACCAACGACATTCAAACTGCAATAGATGATAAAAAGTTAACCATCCTTATTCTTCTCGACTTCTCCAAAGCCTTCGATTCCATTAACCATTCTATCCTTTTCAACAAACTGAAATTATTATCCTTCTCCAATAGTTCCATCTCTTGGTTTCAATCTTTCCTCTCACAACGTACCCAAGCAGTCTCCATACCCAACCAACCACTATCTGCCTTCCTTTCTTTATCCTCTGGAGTTGCCCAGGGTTCAAGCATATCTCCTCTCCTTTTCAGCTCCTACATTAACGACCTACCTAAATCAATTCTCCATTGTTCCCATCACCTTTATGCAGACGATTCACAGATCTACCTATCATTTTCCCCTCCTGAGTTACTGGAGGCATTTGCCAAGATCCAAGAAGACCTAGATCGAATCAGTGCCTGGGCAAATGTAAATGGATTAAGGTTAAATGCCGCCAAAACTCAGGCCATTGTCATTGCTTCCAAGCCCCTTCTTAGATCCCATCCAGACTTTCCCATCCTTCACCTTAATGACCAGCCAATCTCCTTCTACTCCTCTGTTAAAAACTTAGGATTTTTCATTGATCAAAACCTCCTTTGGAATCACCATATTTCTCATATCTCTCGACGGACAATTTCCACCCTCAAACTATTCCATCGCTTCCGCCATCTCCTACCTCAACATACGCGTAGACTCCTAGTTTCCTCTCTCATTTTCCCCCACTTTGACTATAGCTGTGTGGTGTATGATGGCCTCTCTGTGGAGCTCCGTGATAGACTGAAAAGACTAATGAACAGCTGTGTAAGATTTGTGATCGGGGCCCCAAGATACTCCCATGTTTCTCACCACTATGCTGAGTTAAAGTGGCTTTTCCCCTCCTTCCGAAGACAATATTTCCTAGGTACGTTCCTCTACCAAATCATCAACAGCCATCGTCCTTCTTACGCCTACAATCTTCTCCAGTTCAAATCCTCAGTCCATTCCCTGTCCACAAGATCTCGACCTTCTAATCTTTACATGCCTTCTCACAGATCTGCCTCATTCCAAAATTCCTTTGTTGTTCGCTCTGTTAATTTCTGGAATTCCCTCCCTATCAAAATTCGACATTCCCCATCCATATCCAAATTCAAAACCCTCCTATTCCAATTCCTATCCCAAGAACAGTCAGATAGTTGCTAACCATTCGAGCTGATTTTAATAGAGAATTTGATACATACAAATTCATTGATTGATTCATTGATACATTTTTATTTTTTAATTCTTTATTATTTTCTTAAAAGTGTATACTAGTGCAAATAGCTTTAAGTGCCTTGTCATAGTATTAATTGTTTTGTATATAGTTTCGTTTTTTTAATATAGAATGTTTACCTTATATTTTTTTTACATTATTTCTTTTTTCGATTGATTTTATTTTGGCCAGATGTGATCTTTTAATTTTGTTCTATTTTGTTATTCTCAAGGGACTGTGTCCCAGAATAAAATTATTTTTCTATCTATCTATCTATAAAAAGAATATAAGATATAAGATTCCTCCACGAGGAGCCAAGGCACAGGAGATATTATACCTTTGATTGCTAAACAATCACTTCCAACTGCTATGTGGGGCAGTACCAGTGAAATTCTACCTTATGGTTAATAAAAGTAAACAATAAATACATAAATCTAACTAAAATTGTAATTGCTAGTTTAGATATTAAAATGAAAAAGAATTAGATTAATTTAATCTTACAACAAAACTAAAAGCAGCAACTGATAGGAGTGCTGCCAACAAACTTATTATAAACTCTGGATTCTTGGAAACACCAATACGGCCTGTGATTGGAATAAAAAGCCTAAAACTTGTAATGCCGTTATAACAAATCATGGAGGAAGAAAATGATGATATTAAAATAAACAAAGCATGCCAAAGTTTGCCTGAAATCAACATACAAAAAAAAAAGTATTTTAAAATAGAAAGTTAATTCAAAATTTAATATTGTAATAAGAATAAATCTTCTCTAAACTTACGATTTCCTCTTTTTTGTAATACAGTAATTAGAGTCCATAATGCGTTTGGAAGTACGATAATCATAAGCATGTATGATGATCGCACATTCAAGAAAAAACTAGCAAAAAGAAACAGTGTCCAAAGCAACTGAATGCTCAAACAAGACAATAGAATTTTTGCATTAAATGCAATATTTCCCTGAAATACAATTGTAGTTTAATATTGAATACTTGTATGAGATAGTAAATCATGTATAAAAACTAATTATTTAAAAAAATTGAGACCCTAATCAAAAACCACTAAATTGAATTGGAAGTATCAATAAAAACATGAAATTTTAAAGTTTAAAAGTAGATTGTATAAGTAGATAATATAATATTTCCCAACTAATTAATGTTATTTTAAACCTGATTAAATGGGTTCAGATTCAAAACATCAGAACCTAAATAAAAATAAAAAGATTCTAAAGGACCTAAAGATAAAGAAAAAAAAAAATTCAACTTACCATTATCCACTTGTCAACAACAATTGTATTGATTATCATCATAAAAATGGAGGGTATGACATAAATTAGAATTAAAAGTCCTGTATTCGTATACCAGCTCAAAGAATATCCAAAAAAATCAATTGCGAATGCTATAAAAAGATTATAGCAAACTGCAATTATCAGAAACGTCAGAAGAGATAACAAAGTCATCAAAAATTTCACAAGAACTTCCAAAATATTGCCTAAAATAATCAAACAGATTTAAAATACTCAGAAAATAAGTTTTCAAAAAATACTCAAAAAATTTAAAGTATTCTAAAACTTTTAACGACTATGAATACCTAATAAAAACATCATATTTTCATTTGCTTCATTGTATGGACTATTAAAAAAAAAAAAAATAACCTTTTCAAACATAATCAATTTCATAAAAATAAGGTATTGCAGCCATCTATAAAACCGACTATTAGCAATTTCAACAGTAATATTCACTACAGAGATCTCTAGTTCACATAAGCCTTTCTACCCAAACAAATCTCTTAAGAACAAGTAAATTCAATGGATAATAAATATGATGCCCAATATGAATTGAGCCAAATGATTCTTATGGGCAATAGGATGATCTAAAGCTGGACTTACACTATCGTTTTTTTTCATTTATTTGGAACTACGGTTCAAAACATTCTTGACTGATGAACTGAAGGAAAATAGTCCAGTAAAATTATGGATTGACCCCAACATTAAAAAACTAAAGATGAAACTAGTCAGAAATTATTCATTACACTCCCCATAATAACTGGTAAAAAGTCACAAAGAAATCCCGTATCAGATTTTCATGGGAGGAAGGAGAGAAAAACAGAAAACTAATAATTTTTTTTTTTGAAAATATCTCCAAAACTATGAGTTTTTTTGTAACCATTGTTCAGTACAATATTAAAGTTGTTTGATAAGCTTTAAATATATATTAATTAAGCCGAGGTTGGTGACAGAGTAAGTTGAGATTCATCTCTAATTGAGTAAAAAGATTGTCAGTACGGTAAAATAATGATTATCTTTTACTCGTTATTGTTCAATTTGTTGCGGACAGAAAAAAAAACAGTCAGGTTGGAAAGATATTATTCATAACTGCCTGAGTAATGCCTATATTGTCCTGACACATCATTTTTTTCTCAGAATTTTAAATATTGTTGATATAATTTATCTTTATAATCTATCTTACATATAATTTTATTTTATATTTCTTAAGACTATTATTTTTATCAATTAATAATTAACAAAAATAGAATAAATTTATGGATTTATTATAGAAAAACAAATTAGAGCAATATCAAATTACTAAAATATCAAATAAAAAAAAATAAATTAATACATAAATCTTGCATTCTTCTTGTTATTTCAAATAGTATTTTGGTAATTAAAGTGGAACTTAATTTTTTTATTGTTAACAAAGCTCTTGGTCAATAAATATTGGTTTTACAAATAAAAACCAAACGGGCACATGCTAGTATTTAGCCCAAAATGTCTTCCCAACTTCAAATATTTCAAAAGATTAAAAGCTTAAAATTCTGAAACTAATCATTAGAATTGGCCAAAAATTATTATTTTTACTTACATGTATATTTACTTAATATTTACAAATTTTCATTAAGATCTAAGATGGGTGGGTTACAAATTGAATTTTTTCTGGATGATTTGGCAAGGAATGACCCCATCAATATGTATTTTCTTCCAATGCTTACATAGTCTTAATTATCTTTATGGAGACCCTCATTTTAGTCGACTTACAAATAAGGTATAGTGTTCAATTCTACTAAAAAAGTAAAAAGAAAGAGTTATAGCTTTGGCTCTGGACTCCACAGTTTCCAATGGAATGTTTTCATTAGATAATTATATTATAAGTTTTATATATGTTTTCAGTTTATTCTGGTGACATTTTCAATATTAGCCCTGTAAACCTCTAAAGCCCTGTTTAGAAATGGCTATGCCACTATAATCACAGAAGTAGTTTAAATATCTTTTTTATTTGTAGCAAAAATACAATTCAATGACAAAATATAATAAGAATCCTACCAACATAAATCATATTAATATGATACTTGAATTATATGTTATAGCATATCCAGTAGCACAATAAAATCACAATATTATAATATCGTATGAAACAGGGTCGATCCCAGAAGCTCAATTACTTTTTGTTTGACCTAGCATCTTAAGGTGCATATAATAGGTTGGAACAAAAAACAATTTTTTCGGCAGAAAACTTTCTAATACCAATCAAAAGTTTCTTCTTTATGTCAATAAAAATATTGCAAAAAGAAGAACAACATTATAGCCAACCCTAATATCAATTAGTAAAATGAAATTAATAAATTTTACCCAACTGTGATTGGTGTTAGAAGTAATAAGAGCTAATTTAACTTTAGTTAAAAAACAGCTGTTCATTTCCGCTAACAAATAATTTAACTTAAAAAATTAGCAATGATCCAACAGTTAATAGCTAAATTAACTGCATATTTATCGCAGATAATTAGCTGTTTAACTGAACCTTAACTATCTAAAAATTAGTTAGCTAATGTCTAACTCTGCTGTAGACATTATAATCATACAGAAAATATATACTTGTCTTTGCTTAGCCCTGATAAAGGACCTGGACTTAGGCTTACATGTCAACTCAAAGGAAATAAAAATAAATATAATTTATTTATTTTTACTTGTACTTTCATTGATAGAAAACACCAAACAACTTCAATAGAAATGGAATAATTTAAATGTATGTACTACAAATTTACTAATTGGTACAAATCTTAGTAAATGTATTGCAGAGTATTTCTAAGGATGGGGTATCAACACCGAAACATAGAAAAGTTAAGATGAAAAAGAGTAATGTATTAACAACAATAAAAGAAAGTTCTGAATAATGTTTCACGTTTTATTGCTTAGTTATTATTTTGTTTTCTTTGAGAATAACACTGGTTCAACTTTTAATCTATGATCTACATATTAAAAAAAAATCATTACCTAATTAAAATGATTAACCTAATAAAACTTATGGATCAGGAAGAGATATGTTGATACAAAATAAAAGCAAGAAAATGTTTAAATGAAAATAAATTGAAATCTTCATAATTATTGAAGAGAAGTTGGTTGAATGGAACACTCAAAGAGTGAACATAATATGAATTATATTTATTTTTATTTTTGCCATTGTTTTGGGCCAAGTTTCGCAACTGTAAGCAGCAGCAACTGTCTGTTTTACAACACTTTACATGAGAACAGCCCTGATGAAGGAATAAAAGTTGGGCCTAATGTCGACAAAAATAAAAATAAATATAATTGTGGATTGATGGTTCACGGCAGTGAATAATTGAAGAGAAGGATGGTTGGGGTGATTAGTCAAAATAAAATAATAAAAATTAACAATTGTATTTATTTTCAGATTGCCGATGTTTTGTCCCTAAGTTCAGGCCTTCATCAGGGCTAAGAAAAGAACCAGATAACAATAGGTATAAGAAAATATTCTTACACCTATTGTTATCTGGTTATCTGGCCTGAACTTCAGGCCGAAACGTCGGTCAATGTGAAAACAAATACAATTATTTATTTTTACTGATCACTCCAACCATCCTTCTTTTAAAAAATAAATATAATTTATTTAATTTTACTTTGTTACTTGTTACCCAACCAACTTCTCTTTAATATATCTACAACAGTCAATTATTAATCCATTACATAATTATTGTTAACTGTTAAATGCAAAAATATAAATATAGAAGCTATTATCACAATTAAAAGTAATATTTACTAACCAGAAGAATTCAGCATTGAAATGGTGAGAATTATTCCCAACAATGATATAAATAATGTGATAATATTCAATGAGGTGGCAAAATCCTCCGAATAATTAATGAATACTAAACCAAATATATCAAAAAAAACTTGCTTCCCAGTTTGGTAGCTAGCAGGATTAATAAATTCCTTGGAATTTAATATTGCTTTAGACAATGATAAAATGTTTTCTCCAGTATGTTTAATAACTCCATGTGGTGACTCTATACTTTCAATATTGTCAAACTTGGTATGGTAGACATAACCATTTTTGCAGTGAGCGAAATCCAAACCTGTAATAGATAAATATAATGTAATAGATGTACTAAGTGAACTTAAAATTTATAGTAAAATAACAATATACTTTAAATTTAAAAGCATTAACTGATTTTTAAAACTCTTTGCATTAAGAGACTATCATAAAATATCAAGGGTATAATTGGAATTCTTAATATATAAAATTAAAAAATGTGACTAAACAAAGAGCTTATCATTCATCTTCATATTATAAACTAATACAATTTCAGTTCGGCTAAATAATCGCTCTTGGTCTGTAAATGTAAAGAACTTATACAAACCACAAGGTGTTTGAAAAATGTTTGAGGTGTGATACAATAATAACAGCTTTAAAAGAGGTAGATGTCAAGAAAATGGTTAAATGTTATCAATGGGTACATTATGTTGGCTTGATGACTCTTTTGTGGCAAACCAGTCATCAAGCGATTTTCGTACATTTTCATAAGAAATGAAGCACTGCTGAGTAAGAATGTGTCACATCAGTGCAAATAGATAGTAATCAAAGGAGCTATGTATGGTGATTAATCGCTTCGGCATATATTACCAAACTGAATTCTTCAATTGTTTCCTTCACTGGTTTTGCTGTGGTTGATGGTGCATTATCATGAAGCAAAATCACTGTATTGTCTTTTTTACTACTAGAAAAATTTGCACAGCATATAGTTATCAAATGCCAAATTAATAAGAAAATAAAAAAAATGCAACGTATCAAAAGATTTAGACATCAAATGATACTTTATCGATAAATATAATCTACGAAGCAAACAAAAATTAATTTAAATCTTCATTTTTGTTTGGAGCCAACATGTTGACAAATTTCAGTAAGCTGTATCTCTGTTAAAAATTGTCAGATTTCGTTGATTTTTTTTTCCTTTTGTAGAGAATTTAGTAATCTTTTATATAATTATGGGCATAACCAAGAGAAAAGTGTGTAATTTATCAATTATTCGCAAATAAAGTTTATTTTCTTTCATAACTTGTTTGCCTGGATTTTTGGGGTGATTGAACTATTTTGCGAGCCTGAAAGAGCCTTCGAAATTGGTGGCTCAATCTTGAGATTTGGTGAAAAATTAACGATGATATGGCTTGCCGATCAAAAAAACCATTGATAAATAATATAAACTCCTTCTCTCTCGATCATAGAGACCTCAAATCGACGAAATGAGGCATGTATTCAATTACAGTACTACAATTAATATAAGGTTGTGTGGATGCGAACCCTATGCCTTATCTCGAAAATAGTACGTTTTGGGGCTTAAAAACGCAGGATCCGATAGTTCCGGAGGAACTATCCGGGTCTTGCTGTACGCATCAAAATCTTCAAGATACAATTTGTCCCGTATCGATCTACAGACCTACCACCGTTCCAGTATTGAAGCCTAGCAAAATGTTTGTATCGACTTTATTTATTTTAGAAAGAAAAACAAAAGTGGAGAATACGATTCGCTAATCCCCCATGAAATTCTGAATCCAACAATACCCCATTCATGGTATTTGAGCATGACAGGAGCTTATATTTGGTACAAAACCAATTTCAAGCCTTACTGTAATAATATATGTGGGGATTCCGATCGTTTATCGTACAATACTCAATTAAATATGAATAAAATAAATTTTTTATTTGTTTTCGGGCGAACCCATACAAATGGAGTTCAGTTTTATACACATACATTTATAAAAATATACATAAATAGGATACCTAATTAAATACATTAATGGTAAAAACTATCAATAATATAATATATATTAAACACAATATAATATGCGAAATAAAGCTATTTTGTTTGATATAACTATAAACAAAATAATCTTAACATGTAACCTTAACTTTAATAATAATGATGAAACTATTTGTTCTTGAACAAAAAAAAAAAAGATTTCTTAATTTTGCACAACTTTCTACATACCCGTATAAATCATTGAATTTATATTTGTTTTCTGTATATAATAATTGTGCTATTTGATCTTTATCGTCACAATTATTATTATTAAATGGCACTTCATCCCAATTATTTCAGACTTGGCCTACTTCAGCATGGATCTCCAGTTCTCCCGGTTAGTTGCTGCAGCCTTCCAATTTCTGACACCAAATAGTCTACATGCATCAGCAGCCACACAGTCTTGCCAGCGCAAACATGGTCTTCCCACTCGTCTGTTTCCAAACACAGACTCATTCATATCCATCCGCGCGACATGTCACAATTACCATCAATATATTTATTTAAATATTTACTTCTAAAAACTACATATACAGGACAATGGAACAGAAAATGCTATAAATCTTCAGGTACATTTGTATTACAAATGGGACATTCAGCAGTTCTATCTAGAAAACTATTTTTAAAACCGTAAGAAGTAACCTTTAAGTTCTTCAGTTGGCACAGTCTTAATTAGCTAATCATTCTAAGCTTTCTAATTGGCTTCTTAAGATAATATTCACCCTTAGTGAAGCTACTAATTTATCTGAAGTTTTAATTGAATTTTGAGTTCAATATGGATTGAATATCCATAGAAAATGTATTACATTTTAATTTTTCAATAGTTTTAAATTCCTCTTCTAATAATTCTTTATTTTTAATGTTTAATAATTCAACTGAGTCTATGGATCTCAACATATTTGCCAATTGTAAATACCAATTATACTTGGCGTTTATTAAATAGTTAAAAAAATATTTTTTTTAAATTTTGTAAACAAAGTTTTGGTAATCAGTTATCTTCCATTAGTTCTACTTTTCGGTACCAGAGAATCATTCTTTTAAGAACACTTATTTCTAATGATTCTAGAACCGTTTCTACACGCACATAATAGTTAGGGATATTACATGGCCAATAATATATTGCTTTAAAATAACTCAATGCAACGTGCTCTCATTTGTGACAGTATAATGGAGTCCAAACATCCGCTGAGTACAAAAGAACGGAACTCACCATAGAATTTAACAATTTAAATTTAGTATCAAGAGTATTTGATCTTGATCTTAACAAGATTTCTCGAATTCTCTATATGAAGCAAAGTGTGATTTTTTGAAAAAATTATCTGCTGCCTGAGAAAATAAACCCGATGATGAAAAAACCACTCCTAAATAATTATACAGTTTAATTATTTCAATTTTAATTTTTTTTAGAAGAGAGGTTTAACTTTACTCATATTACCACCTTTTTTGAAAATCACACATTTTGTCTTTTCAATATTAATAATTAACAAATTTAATTGACAATACTTATATAGGGAAACTAATTTCTTATTTGTTCCAACTCAACCATTATCAAGTAAAATTAAATCATCTGCATATATCAGCCCGGATATTTCTGTTATATGGTCAATATTTATTTCAGTACATCCATAATTTTTAAAATGAAACATTATATCTGAAATGAATAACGAAAATATTAGAGCACTAAGGGAGTCTTCCTGTTATACTCCTTGACTGATTTTAGCTGATTACATATTAAGTTCATCCTTTAAAATTATAGTACCTTGTTTGCATAATTTTCATAAATTTTTTATTATTTTAGAACCCAATCCAAATGAAGTTTTTGCCACAATTTTGTATAATCCAGTGAATCAAATGCCCGCTTAAAGTCAACAAATGTCGCAAAGACAGTGTTGCCTTTGTAGCTCAGTGAGATATTTATTACTGAATTTAAAGTAAAAATGTTATCAACGCAGCCTCTACCCGGCCTGAAACCATTTTGTTCGACTGGAATCAAGTTATGATTTTTCTGCCCATTGAGTAATTCTATCAGCTAGAATAATTGAAATCAGTTTCACAAAATAATTTATCAGTGCTATTCTCCTGTAATTGGCGGGGTCCTCAACATCTCCTTTTTATATAAATGAAGTAGCACCTTTTAACGTTGTTAAAAAGGTTACAGTGGTAGTGGTCCCAATTCAGAGGCATAAGTTTATAAACTTCATATGGCAACTGATCGGTGCCAGATGCTTTTTTTCAATTTAGTTTTTCTGCTTTCTGAAGTTTATCCAGATTTATAGGATTATCTAATTCTAAAACGGAATTGGTGGATATCAAGTCAGAAATTGAGTCCTTTCCAGCATAAAATTCTTTATAAAAACAGATAAATTGTTCAATAGAAACCGCAACTTCAACCATATTCAGATTATTAAAATATTTGCCAAAACATTTTAACTTCTTTGACATCTGATAATGAGTTTAAAAGTCAATTGAATTTTTTTTTTATTTTGCTACACTTACACATTTTTTTCTATTGTTTTTTCATTCATCATTCATTCATGTGTGGCACGACATCCCGTTACCGAGACTGGGCCTCCTCCAAGAGCCTCCGCCAGTTGGCTCTGTCTTCTGCTGCAGCTCTCCAGTTCCGTACACCAAGCAGGGTTCGTGCATCATAGGCCACGTTGTCCAACCACCTCGTCCTCGGCCTTCCTACCCGTCTTGCGAGGTGCAGCTCCTCCATCATTATTTTCTTGGGTATCTCAACGGTGCTCATTCTGGCCACATGCCCTGCCCACCTTAGTCTGGCCAGTTTAATATAGGTGACTACTTCGATGTCTGCATAGAGAGAACTGAGCTCCCTATTTTTTCTTTTCCTCCAGACATCACCCTCCTTTACTGGACCATAAATCCTTCTGAGGACTCCTCGCTCAAACACACTCAGCTTCATCTCATCGTTTTTGGTCATCGTCCAAGCCTCTGAGCCATATGTCAAAACAGGCCGAACAAGAGTCTTGTATATGATCAGCTTGGTCTTCTTTGAGAGGTACCTACTTCTTAAGTGTCGGCCAAGTCCATAGACACATCTATTGGCAGCCGTGATCCTTCTTTGTATTTCTTGAGCCATGTCATTTTTGCTATTAATTTCAGACCCAAGGTATATAAAACTTTTCACTCTCTCAAACTTAAAAGAACCTACCTCAAATGGAGAGTTCAGATCCACCTCACCACCAACTCTCATATACTTAGATTTCCTCTCGTTGACTTCTAGACCAAGTGGTCTTGCAGCTGCTTCAAGGCCT